CTGTGCCGCTCCACAAGTGCTCCCCAACTTCCGCTGTGCTACCGCGCCCTCTGGCTTCCATTCTCTTGTTGTCGACGCAACATCCGACCGCAGCGGCCCCGTAGTTCCCAACATAGGCTGATTGGACTCACCGGGGGCGATATTCCGAAAACGGCCGGTCATTAGACGGGCCGATTAGTCCTTCGCCCCTATGCCTTGTCCGGCAAGCCTTGCGCCCAGCTGGTTTCACTGCCAGTCCGCTACAGCCTCCCCCTACCCGCCTTACTCTGGCTGAGCCCACCACCTCCTCTCGCCCCCAATGGCCGAACTCGCCCACATCCTGTAGGCGGGTTGCGAGTCGAAGGCGCGGGCCTGCTGCAAGCCTCCAGTGCCCGCCCAGGTCTGCTGCAGGTCTTGGTGGTAGTAGCAAATATTCAAATAAGAACTTTGAAGACCGAAGCAGCGATGGGTCCCCCATGGTCCGCAGCTTGCCACGACATTGCTACGGTCCTCCAACAAAGCCCTGTTGGTCAACTAAGGGAAGCGCACGCTCAAGGTCCTCGGCCGCCGTGACGGCCACCCGTGGCCGGTGCCACGTCCGACTTACAAAAAAGTCAAAACATGGGGTTAAATAATAACGACGACAAATAATAAAACAATAGAATATCTAACTTTTTATCGTCGGAATACGGCGAACGAGAAAAAGGGGACCACTAGCACCGTTCCGACGCTTCTAACGACAAGACCAAAGGGGATAACCCCGCTTGGTCTTCAACCCCCCGCTCCGTCCGCGCCACTCTGATCCCCGCATCGTTGTCGCCTAGTCTCGTTCCCTGAACGTCTTTGACAAAAGTCTTACGCCATAACCGCTAATGCTAGGCCCAAGTCTGAGTCTAGCTCTGACGGACATCTGTAATAAACCAATACTGCGCGACGCGCAGACCTACGAAAACGATCTCAAAATCACATCGTTATCGATGTCGTCCTTCGTACGTACGCACAGGTCATAGGCAAGCATATCAATCAACGAGACAAAATCTTTTTAATCCTAGCTTAATCAGAAGTAAAAATCTGGTCGGCGACTACTCCGACTCTCTCAATCATCAACCAAAAATAAAAGATTACGCATGCCTCAAACCCGAACGCCCACACACTCTTTATTCTAGTCAACCATCAGCCGCATAAACAGTGGAGACTGCCGCGACTCACGCAGTATACTTAAACTTTGAACTAACCCTATTTTCTGTCACTTGCAAAAACCAGGGCAGATACCCTTGTAAGGGTATTCGCACCGACAACGCTTAGCTTGTTCATAGCAAGAAGGACATATTGGTCTCCATCTACTAACATCCTTATGCTTATGTAAGACATGTGCTCTTCCCAACTTCCCATTTGCCCCCCAAGGCGCAAAAGATGTCAATCGTCGAGAGTCGTACTCCTTATAGCAAGCTAGCAACTCCTCTCCGATTGTTGAAGCACCCATAAGTGTGGGCTATTCAAAAATAGATTTCGTAGACCAACTTCATATAGCACCGGACAACAAAACAAAGTATCAACTAGATTATGATGAATCGCACACGCGACCAGCCCATCATACTTTTTCTTAACATGCACCACTTGCTGCTAAGTTATGTACCAACCATCTTTTGTCCTAGCATAGACGCATTTCAACAAATACATTGATGAAATATCAACCTTCGTCCTAGAGATCTTTGAAATGGAGATTGCAAGCTCTTTCCTCAAGTAATTACAATCCCTACGATAATCCGAGGAGACAACATTCTTAGAGTTGAACACCACGTCAGGAAGAAAGCTGACCTCACTGGCCCTAAAACGAATGTGTCCATTCCCCCGTGGAAGTTCATAATCTAATCCTGCACAAGAACAGATCAAACGTGTACGTTGGGAATATCCTCAATTACTATGAAGCACATCGGCCACAATACGATTGCGCGTGAAAACCAAACGAAAATGTCTTCTTAGATGATCCAAGTAAGATGACGAGAGATTCAAAGACAAGATAAGCTTCTTACATAGCAATTGTAACTCACCCTTGCTTACTCAAAGTCAAATTCAATACGAAAAACTATTCTAGTCGACAAACTTAGATAAAACTTCATACGAAAAGCATGCAAAGGAACCAGTCGCATAGTACGACGAGAGCACTTATCAGAAATACATTTTACAAAGTTGTATGAAGAGACGTAGTCATCAAGACTCCAAGTGGGCAGAGCTTTCCTGTAGACAGGAATACTCAAGAGCTTGATTAATGTGCTTTTGACTGGGGGAGATTGAGAGCAGAAAAAAGAAACTTTCAAGAAAAACAACACCGCACCTACTTTGAACCAGTCCCGACAGTTCTTAAGTACTTATGTACACAAAGCAAAGGAGGTAACTACGGAAGAGACGAACAAGCGGTGCATCGTTCTCCAACCATCAGCAAAACATTCCCCACTTACACATGTAATGGAGATAGGACCCATTTCTTTATCAATGACCTCCTCGTCCCTCGCATCGCCTTCATTTCGTAGTGAGGCCTTTGCTTTCTAGAACTCCTGCCTAGCCCGAATCTCAACGACATCCATCTTTGCCTGCTCCAATTTGACGTACGTAATTCCCTCCTTGGCACATGTCGCCTCCATATCTGTCTTCCTAAGGAGCCTAAGTTCCTTCTTCTTCCAATCACGAAGCCGCGGAAGCAATAGCTCGGTATTTTCGGCAATCATTGCCATCGGCTCCCTCACCCTCCTTACCCAAATCATCTTCGATGTCCACAGCGGTCAAACAAGTCTTTAGATTGCATGGAGTGGTACGTCTTCCGATTGTCCGTCGACTGCTGGCAGTCTTCATAATAGCCGAGACCCTCACCTTCATCAATCGTTCCCTCCAGTGTAGTCCGCATGTATGTGGACGGGCCGTCCGTACGCCCATATGACCATCCGTACACCCCCCCTGGCCCCGGTACGGGCCGTACGTACGGCCTTTGCAGCCCCATTATGTGGCCTTCCATGGGGGAGGGGGAGTAAAGGCATGGGGGGGGGTCGGGTGTCAGGGAGTTTACCCCCCCCCATTAAAAAAGAAAAAAAGTGTCTTACTGGGACGACAAACAAAATGAACATTGATGGATTGATTGATTGATTGATTGATTGATTGATTGATTGATTGATTGATTGATTGGTCGATCGATTGATTGATTGATTGTTGTTAAAAAAAAAAAAAAAAAAAGATTTATTGATTGATTGATTGATTAATTGGTGTGGAACACGGGAAAAGATGTGCGCGCAGGGACACACACACTTGAACGCACGCAAACACAAAAAATACACACACAAGTACATGCGCGGACTCACACCCGCGTGCACATACACGCACACATGCACACACACAGAGACACACACAGACACACACACAAATGCACACACCCACACAGAGACAGACACACACGCACACACACAAATGCACACACACACACACACACACACACACACACACACACACACACGCACACACACACAGTGTCACACACACAATCACACACACACACACACGCACACACACTCCTGATGAGTCGGTGAAAGTCCGACGAAACAGTTTGGCACAGTCATGCTTTTTTGACTGTATAGCGAATATGACAACACACACACACACACACACACACACACACACACACACACACACACACACACACACTTTCCCCTCTCCCGCTGCCTCCCCCTCCCCCTGCCTCCCCCGCTCTCACTGCCTCTCCCGCTCCAGCTCCCGCTCCTGCTGCCTCGCCCTCTCCCGCTGCCTCCCCTCTCCCACTCCCGCTCCCTTCCCGCTCTCTTACACTGTCATCGTGAAAAGCATGGTGGTGAAAAGACCCTACAGAAGGAGGACTCTAATATCACTTAGGACGAACAACATGTCCACTTTGAGGTTTGGAATTTGTAACAGTGGTGACACTATCTCCGCTTCTTCATTCCCCAAGTAGAACACCTGGCCTATGGGGCTGTGTGCTGTACGTGGAAGAAGCTGGTACAGACACCGCGACCATGGAAACACTGGAAAGCTTTCAAGTGATGACTTTAAAACTCCCACGAATTCTCCCATTTGCGAGGCTTGGCATGAAGGAGGAAAACTCCTTTTACAATCGATCGTCGGCTTTGAAAATATGAGCAAACAAACAAGTTGAACTCGACCAGCATCATTTCCAAAATGCAGGGGCAGAAGCAAACTTTGAAGGAGAGGAGGAAAGGATGGAGAAACTTTGAGAAAGTGGAGGGAAGGAGGGAGCTGAGGGAGTTGAGGCAATTGAGCGAGTTGAGGAGAGGAGAGGGAGAGACGCAGGGAGTGGAAAATGTGAAGATTATGTGCAACAGGGAAAAAGTAGAAGTCGCCAAATAAAAAAAAGGGTAAGTTTCAAAAATAACGCATCGCGGTAGTTTCACAGCAAAGATATTCGCAGGCGGGGCCCAAGTTTCGTTGCAACAATATATCTTTCGTTGCAGCTTCAGAGGGCCCGGTAGTTTCACAGCAAAAATATTTGCGGGCGGGGTCCCACTTTCCATGCCAAAATAGATCTTTCGGACCCGAACAACATTTCTGCTGCGAAACTTCAAAAACACAATATTTCTGCAATTACCCCTAAAAAAAAAGAAGAAGAAGTTGGGCATGGGATAGCGAGTGACGTCTCGGCGGAAGCAAACTTTGAAGGAGAAGAGGAAAGGAGGGAACGAAAAAGGGGAGGGAGGAAGGGAGGGAGGGAGTTGAGGAGAGGAGAAGGTCCAGAGTGAGAGACGCAGGGAGGGGGTCGAATCCCTCTTCCACCAGTTAGGGGGGGGGGGGGGGGGGGGGGGGGGGGGGGGGGGGGGGGGGGGGGGGGGGGGGGGGGGGGGGGGGGGGGGGGGGGGGGGGGGGGGGGGGGATGCAACGATTATGTCCAACATCATGGAAACATGGACATAGTAGAAGTCGGCAACAAAAAAAACTCCCAAACTAATGTCAATTTTTTTAATGCTGCAGTGAAAATGTGAACACACCAGGTTCTCCTTCTTGACTGAGGCTGAAATCGCTGAAGTCAAAGTCCAAGTGTCCCCCTCCACGGTCAATCTCTGCGGCTGGCAGAACCATATTATGATTTCGTTTAGATAATAATGATCTTGAATCGATTCCCTGGCGCCGCTTCGCAGCCTTACGCTTTTCCATGATCATTTCCATCCCTCGTCCTTCCCCGCATTCCCGCTGCCGGTGCATCTTCTTCAGAGGACGATGAACAACGCCCCCGCCGCTGTTACCGCCGCTCTTGTTCTTGGTTAAATTTGCTGCTGCAGTTGTGCACAACCCGAATAAAACCGTTAAAATACCAGTCAGACACAGTCAGAAAAATAACTTTTTTCTGAACACAAAACACCGGGTCCCTCATCCTGAATGTATACACACTACCTTTCTGGTTCAGTACAGTCCCGCTGCCGTTGCATCTTCTTCAGAGGCCGATGAACAACGCCATCGCCACCGCTCTTGTGCTTATTCTTAGGGGCTGATCCCAACACTACACTACGAATGTAAACACGAAAAATCACTACGAAGATGTCAGCGTCCGTGACGGGGTGAAAAAGAGAAACCGGATCCCACGAGCCCCACTTCTTCGGTGGTCTTCCTGGACCCCTAGCGGTTCTTTATGGACTGTTATAGAGGGCGGACGTTTTCACGGACTCCGCCAACCGACACGACACACAACACTATGGTGCTCGGACATTCCTAATGCTGCAATGGACAAGCCAAAAAATAAAATAATTGCTCCCTCTTTTTCGAGGCTGTGAAGCCCTCACGGTCTACACAAGAATTGTAGTAACTACGTAAGCCCTTCGCGGACGTGCTGCCACGACACAACCAAACGAAATTAAAGCAAAATATTCCGGCGGCCGCGACAATGTAAAAAAGAGGTGGGATCTCAAGACTACACTGTCATTGGGCTGTAGTCTAGTGGCGGGATCAGCCTCTTAGGGCCTCGGTCCACTACTCTCGAAATGTCAAAAACGAGAGTGAATCGTCGGCTAGAACATGGAAAGATACACCGCCATGATTATTGTCTTTTGTGCATGTCGAGAGTAGTGGAGACGCCCTTATCTTGGTCAGAATTGCTGCTGCTGCAGTTGTGCAGAAGCAGCAGCAACCCGAATAAAACCGTTAACTTGGACACAATCACGATTTCAGTTAAAAAGCCACTTCGGGCATCCCTCGAATAAAACACATCCCCACCGGACCCTAAAGCTAGGTTCAGTTAAAAAGCCACTTCAGGCATCCCTCGAATACAACACATCCCCACCGGACCCTAAAGCTAGGTTGAATACATTCACGATTTTCCTCTCTTTGGCACAACACAACATTCGCGAAATTGTGACTGAAGCGCATTTTCAAACTGAAAACCGTGACTGCGCCCTACCTTCTTTCCCCGAATACAACGTACTACGGTCATTACAGCAGCTGTATTTAGACTGCAAGATAACCCAAATTCAGTTACAAAAAATGACCGTCCGTTGTATTCGGGGGCAGAAGATAGTACTTTTCCCAACCGTTAAAATACCAGTCCGATCTCGAAAAAAAATAAAAAACAAAATACCAGTCAGACACAGTCAGAAAAAGAATTTTCTTGAACACAACATACCCTCATCCAGAATGTATACATGCTATCTTTCTGGTACAGTACAGTCCCGCAGCTCCCGCTGCTGGTGCATCTGCTTCAGAGAGGTCGATGAACAACGCCACCGCCGCTCTTATTCTTTTTTTTTGTTTTTGTTTTCCCGCTCTTGTTTGTATTCTTGCTTTTGGGTAGATTTGCTGCTGCAGTTGTGCAAAACCCGATGAGGACCGGAATTTTACCAATCAGACAGTCAGGAAAAGAGATGTGGACACAACACACCCTCATCTCCTGAATGTATACACGCTATCTTTCTGGTCCAGTACAGTCCCGATGAGGGTGTTACTTAAACAGTCAAAGATTTTCAGAAGAAGAATCTTCCTCCGGACACAACACACACTCATCTCCAGAATGTATGCACACTATCTTTCCGGTACAATACAGTCGGGATGAGGGTGTATTCTGTTCGGGGTACACAGTCAGACATTCTCGCAAGGTCAAGAAGAATCTTCCGCTGAATACAACACACTGCTCATCCCGAATGTATACACACAATCTTTCGGGTCCAATTCAGTCACTATGAGGGAGCATTACGTTTGGGCTGAGACGGTAGGGGAGTGATTGGGTGAGTGATCACCCAGTCAGACGCGGTTGGGTTACGGAAGAGAAGTGTTTTACTCTCCGTTTTCGGCAATTTCCAGACACTGCGCTTGGGTTATGGAAGAGAACAGTTAAAACTTTCCGTTTTCGGCAATTCCAGACACTGTCTTTCGCATGCACGTTTAGAACAACTCCACTTCCATGACATTGCGGTACCCAACTGCATACATACATGCATACAAGCATGCATGTAGACATACATACATACATACATACATGCATACAATCATTCGTAGACATACATACATACATACATACATACATACATACATACATGCATACATACATACATACATACATACATACATACATACATGCATACAATCATGCATGTAGACATACATACATACATATATTATATATATTCGCAAGTGAAATGTCACGGACCGGTATTTCTGAATAGATACTCTTTTGAGGTACATTTCACTTGCAAATATATATAATATATCGTCACAAAAATGTCAGGGCGCAAAAGCGAAAAAAACAAGAAAAAATCAATTCATTTTTTATTTTAATATATGTATGTACTATGTATGTATGTCTACATGCATGATTGTATGCAGGTATGTCCACATGTATGTATTTTTGTATGTATGTCTATATGCATGATTGTATGGATGTATGTATGTATGAGGCTGGGCTGCTCACGAACGTGATTGTTTGTCACCATACCTGCGCAGACCCGTAAAGTTGCTACGATACGTTTGCAAACTGGTATTTCTGCAATTTTCCCATACATACATACATACAATCATGCATACATACATACAATCATGCATGAAGACATACATATGTACGCACATGCAGACATACATATGTACGCACAGGCAGACATACATACATGGATATACAGACAAGTAAATGGTACTAAGTTGAGAAGCGAAAAAGATTTTAAGTTTTCGGCAACTTCCAGACAATGGGGCCTCGCTCCGCCACTCATCAAATGCACAAACGACAAAAAAAATATGGCGGTGTATCTTTCCATGTTCTAGCGGAAGATTCATTCTCATTCACACACATACATACATAAAATTGTAGACAGTGCACATACATACATACATACATACATATGGTAGATGGTATTTTTGGTACTTTTTGTCTGCATCCCGGGTTGGTTTTGTTCGGTCCACGTGGCGGTGGTTTCATGTGGGTTGTTTGGTCCACGTGGCGGTGGTTTCATGTGGGACTTGTCATCCGGGTTTTTAGTTGGCTGGTTCCCGTTGTTTGGCCTATCGAAGGGGGGGGTGCTTTTAGGTGGGAATCGTCATCTGGGATTGTCTTTATATAGTTTTTTTTGCAGGCAAGGGTGTTGATTGCTATCCTGGTTGGTCATTGTCCCGTTGTTTGGCCTGTGAAGTAGGGGGCAGTGCTTGCATGTGGGACTTGTCCCTTGTCTGCATCTTGGTTGGTTTTGTCCCGTTGTTGTTCGGGCTATTTTGGCGAGCGTAGCGTAGCGGTGCTTTCATGTGGGACCAGTCATCCGGGTTCTTCTGTTGTTCGGCCTATGAGAGCATGAATGGTTTAGGAATGGGAATACCGACGTCTTGATGACAAACAAGGTCATCTGCTGTACATAGTTTTTGTTGCAGACACGAGTTTTGTCCTGGGTGGTCTTGTCCCGCCGTTTGGCCTGTGAAGGAGGGGCGGTGCTTGCATGTGGGACTTGTCATCTAGGATCAGTTTTTGGTGCTGTTGCTTGTTGCCCCCTGTTTTGTTTTATTTGGCTGTTCCCTTCCTCTTTTCTTTGCCTCTTTGCCCTTTGGCTGTGTGCAAGTGGGTCGATATGACACACGGGGTTGGGGATAGCCGCCGCTCAACCTACATCCACGTGGGCGGCCTTGTACGCAAGAGGTTTTTTTTTTTGTTTTTTTTTTTTTTTGATACCTCACAATTCAACCCGGTGTTATCCCGGCAGCATCAGCCGGTTTAGCTTAAGCTTAAGAACCTTAAAGGCATTCTTCAACCTACACTGCAACAACCAATCTGTTCCTACTCTCAGCCATCAGGGCTGTCCATATCATACTGATTGAAAGACAAAACAATGCACATCTGTGACTTGTCCCTGCAAACCATTACACCATCCACTGCTATACGTCAATCTTAACTACTTTACGCAAGAGGTTCTAAACAGGGGGAGTTGTAAGGAAGAAGAGAAAAAAAATGATTTTATTTTTCTTTGTTTTCTTTCTGTTTTCTTTTCGCTTTTGCGCTCTGATAACTTTGTGTTTTCTTTTTGCTTTTGCGCTCTGATAACTTTGTGACAATATATCGTCACATGAATATCAGAGCGCAAAGGCGAAAAAAACAGAAGAAAACAAGAAAAAAATAATTCGTTTTTTTATCTTCTTTCTTACAACTCCCCCCGTTCAGAACTTCTTGCGTACAAGGCCGCCCACGTGGATGTAGGTTGAGCGGCGGCTGCCCCTGACCCCGTGTGTCATATCGACCCACTTGCACACAGCCAAAGGGCAAAGAGGCAAAGAAAAGAGGAAGGGAACAGCCAAATACAACAAAACAGGGGGCAAGCAATAGCACCAAAAACGGATCCTAGATGACAAGTCCCACATGCAAGCAACGCCCCTGACGATACAATATATATATTGTCACATTGTGAATCAGAGCGCAAAAAAGGGAAAAGAAAAAAGGAAAAGGAAAAAAGGGGAAGGGGAAGGAGGTAAGGAAAGCTCCACCTGTTCATAACCTCTTACGTACAAGGCCAGCCACGTGGATGACAGGTTGAGCGCTGGCTGCCCCCATCCCCGTGTGTCACAAGGACCCAC